TCCGAACCACCTCAACAACCCTTCCTCAGCCCTCTGGACAACAGTTTTTGGTAATCCCGCACCTCCTCCTAACTTCCAAACTACGAATTCTCTGCATTATATTCACACCACACACATTGCCCTCAGACATGACATCTCCACTGCCTCCAGCCTTCTCCTCGCTGCAACATTCATCACCCACGCTTCCCCACCCATATAAGAGCGTTGGTAAAACTATACTCTCATACATTCCCCTCTTTGCCTCCAAGGACAAAGTTCTTTGTCTCCACAGACTCCTAAGTGCACCACTCACTCTTTTTCCCTCATCAATTCTATGATTCACCTCATCTTTCATAGACCCATCCGCTGACACGTCCACTCCCAAATATCTGAATACGTTCACCTCCTCCATACTCTCTCCCTCCAATCTGATATTCAATCTTTCATCACCTAATCTTTTTGTTATCCTCATAACCTTACTCTTTCCTGTATTCACCTTTAATTTTCTTCTTTTTGCACACCCTACCAATTCATCCACCAATCTCTGCAACTTCTCTTCAGAATCTCCCAAGAGCACAGTGTCATCAGCAAAGAGCAGCTGTGACAACTCCCACTTTTGTGTGATTCTTTATCTTTTAACTCCACGCCTCTTGCCAAGACCCTCGCATTTAACTCTCTTTACAACCCCATCTATAAATATATTAAACAACCACGGTGACATCACACATCCTTGTCTAAGGCCTACTTTTTACTGGGAAAAAATTTCCTTCTTTCCTACATACTCTAACTTGAGCCTCACTATCCTCATAAAAACTCTTCACTGCTTTCAGTAACCTACCTCTTACACCAAACACCTGCAACATCTGCCACATTGCCCCCCTATCCACCCTGTCATACGCCTTTTCCAAATCCATAAATGCCACAAAGACCTCTTTAGCCTTATCTAAATACTGTTCACTTATATGTTTCACTGTAAACACCTGGTCCACACACCCCCTACCTTTCCTAAAGCCTCCTTGTTCATCTGCTATCCTATTCTCCGTCTTACTCTTAATTCTTTCAATTATAACTCTACCATACACTTTACCAGGTACACTCAACAGACTTATCCCCCTATAATTTTTGCACTCTCTTTTATCCCCTTTGCCTTTATACAAAGGAACTATGCATGCTCTCTTAGGGTGATGTTTCTCAAATAAAGCTTTCCATCTTACCCCACATTGTAAAAATCTCTTTAATTTCTGAAGAAGGCACCTTCTTCCATCTCTCTTCCTCCTCCTCTGCAGCAAGATTCTGAGCTGCGATGTGTTGCTTTTCACAAATAAACGAAGTCATAAGAGTATCTCCTGCTAATTGTTTCTCATTTATCCACACCAATAATAACTTCTCAACCTCTTCCAGTACTGGTGATCTCATTTTTGTCAGCATAGTTACTCCCTTTGCAACAACAGCATCCTTTATTTCATTTTTCTTGGCCACTATGGAACATAAGGTTGTGTAGGGTTTCTTATACATCCTGGACAGTTCGGCCACACTTGTACCACTTTCATATTGTTCAATGATGGTTTTCTTAAATTCAATCGTATTTCTCACCTTCTTTACCACAGGCTTGGCACTAGGAGCTTTCTTTGGAGCCATGGTAGCTTATTTAGTACTTGCAAGCACTAAAATAAATGGATTATTATGAAATATTTCGCTGGAGCACGCGAGGGGACCTTCGCTCACTGGTAAACAATGCCAGACTGGCTGCCGCCCTGGCCCACGCTGTGCGTACGCGTCCCAGACGAACTACGACTTGCGAGTCAACCTATGAAAAGCGAGTCCATGTTTATACGAAAATACCCCTATGATTGGCGAATTTTACGATTGCCGGGAACTACGAAAAGCGGGGGACCACTGTATTGTATAGTAAACCCTTTTCTAGAATTTAATTGGAACGCATGATTTTATTCCAAATCTGTTGAAAAAATGCATCCTAAAAAAATCTGAGAATTTTAAAATGCTTGTTATTACATTACACAAATACCCACACATAGAAGAGAGGAGTTTATGATGACATTTCGGTCTGACTTGGACCATTTACAAAGTCGGACTGAAACGTCATTGTTAGCTCCTCTCTTCTATGTGTGGGTTATTTGTGTATTGTTCCAGTCACGGTATTATGCCTTATTTTGTTACTTGATATTACATGCCATAAAGCATGAAAGAATCAGCATAGCATCAGTTTAGGGGCAAAATCTTGGTTTTTCCCTGTCATTAATTTTAACAGTCTGCTTGTTGGGCCATGAGGAGTGTCATACCACCCACCATACTCCCCACCTCCTCCTAACCCAAAGGTTAGTAGCCCAGCATTAAACATTATCATGATTATGTTAATTATTCATTGCCGTGCCTTTAATTAACAGTGATGCACCTGCACTAGTTGTATTTCTGTAAGTGTTGACCATGTTAATGATGGATGATGAAGATTGAAAAACATTGACACCAGCTCACTGTCAGGCACATCATATTCTACAGATTTGCTGAGCCTTGATGCCCCTTTTATATTATCACTTTACAGTATCAACCATCAGCACTAGAAGTGATACATATGTAATATAAACTTCACCAAGATAATAGTAATATTTTGAGATTGAGGAGGCACTGCATCCCATTTCAGTACTGGCTGGCTTTTCTACTAAGGTGCGCAGTGTTACTGTCTCTCCATTAAACATGACATTCTCAGCCCTTCTTGCATAGCTCATACAGAATGACAGTTGTACAGACAGTTCAGATATGCATTGAAGAGTTATATTTTTTTCAAAAAACTGGCCATATCCCACTGAGATTGGGTGACCTATAAACACAGACCATAGGTTTTGTTTTTAAATTTGACAGTGACAATGAGAAGTTCATTTTAGCATGATACGTGTTTGTACGAAGGAGTGTAACAATTTGGTGAACATGCCAAAAGTCCCTTTATATGCAGAGCATTTTGGGCAAACTTAAGACTAACTTAAGATTAATAAGGCTATAACAGTGCAGTAATTTTAAATATGGTCATTAGGTGAGTTACAATGAATACAAGAAAACTGAATATTCACTTAGTTCATACTATATGGCTCTAGTAAGTTCAGTAGGAAATAGTTACAATTTTGATATAGTGTTATAAAAAATACAGTATTACAATTTAGTACAATTTAAAATAATGAAGTTGAAAGAATTTTAAGTTTGAAGTAATGATTAGTAAAGAAATAATGATTAATAATTCATACAGGAATAGGAGTTACTAGCCCCTTGCTTTCTTCTTTCAACACACCGGCCATATCCCACCGAGGTGGGGTGGCCCAAAAGGAAAAACGAAAATTTCTCCTTTTACATTTAGTAATATATACAGGAGAAGAGGTTACTAGCCCCTTGCTCCCGGCATTTTAGTCGCCTCTTACAACACGCATGGCTTACGGAGGAAGAATTCTGTTCCACTTCCCTATGGAGGTAAGAGGAAATAAACAAGAACAAGAACTAGTAAGAAAAATGGAAGAAAACCCAGAGGGGTGTGTATATACATATATGCTTGTACATGTATGTGTAGTGTGACCTAAGTGTAAGTAGAAGTAGCAAGACGTACCTGAAACCTTGCATGTTTATGAGACAGAAAAATAGACACCAGCAATCCTACCATCATGTAAAACAATTGCAGGTTTCCGTTTTACACTCACTTGGCAGGACGGTAGTACCTCCCTGGGCGGTTGCTGTCTACCAACCTACTACCTAGGTAGCCCCTTGCTCCCAGCATTTTATTTGTCTCTTACGACATGCATGGCTTATGGAGGAAGAATTCTTTTCCACTTTTCCATAGAGATAAGAGGAAATAAAGAAGAACAAGTACTATTAAGAAAATAGAAGAAAACCCTGATGGGTGTGTAAATTTATATGCATGTACATGCATGTGTAGTGTGACCTAAGTGTAAGTAGAAGTAGCAAGATATACCTGTTATCCTGCGTGTTTATAAGACAGAAAAGAAGACACCAGCAATTACCATCGTGTAAAGTAATTACAGGTTTCCATTTTGCAGTCACTTGGCAGGACGGTAGTACCTCCCTGGGTGGTTGCTGTCTACCAACCTACTACCTAGGTGAAGATATGGTATAGAAATTAGTGATATCTGAACAATGTGAGCTGAAGCTGTCGTTATTACTTTCTAGAAAACGTTCATCTTTAGTAAATTTTTGTTTTTTTAATAATATAAATGTGGAAAGTTCCTGTGTTTTTGGTGCAGTTTGATAAGGAAATGTGGCGTTTATTTTTACCTGTGTTAAAGGGTTAATGCTGCATAAGCTCTCAGTCTTTATAAATCTCAACAACAAGATGGCAGATACCTCTCCCAATAGTTTAGTAATTAAATTGTTTTCTGCTTTTGGTTTTCAGATGCATTTATTGTTTGTATATGTTCATTTAGTGTAGGTGTAGTGAGTTCCTACTTGTTTGGTGCAGTATGGTAAGAAAATTGAGGTTTTATTTTTGGTAACATTTACATATGTTAAGTTTATCAGGTGATAAATCTCCTTACATACATATCAGCCCAGTAACCTCCCCATACCCCTGAGTATCTTCAGATATATCAAGTAGCCCATTTTTTCCTTCACACAGGTATAAGTATTAGTGTACAGTGGACCCCCGCATAACGATTACCTCCGAATGCGACCAATTATGTAAGTGTATTTATGTAAGTGCGTTTGTACGTGTATGTTTGGGGGTCTGAAATGGACTAATCTACTTCACAATATTCCTTATGGGAACAAATTCGGTCAGTACTGGCACCTGAACATACTTCTGGAGTGAAAAAATATCGTTAACCGGGGGTCCACAGTAATTGTTTTCTTGACTCTGCTGTATGCAAGACATTCTTTCAGTTACAGTATTAAAATTTTAATTATTTTGTATTATCTTTAAAAGAATATATTAATTAATATGATTGGATATTTTTATATTGCTTAAAATATATATCTGTACTTTCTTCATAATCAATTTATTTTCACAGGAGGACATAATCTCTGTTTGGAATCGAACTGCACAGGACTCTATAACTACAGGACGAATTCGTGACACACTAAAACGAGTCCTTAACCTCCCTCCCAATACTGTTATGGAATACAAAACTCACAATGATTCTCTTAAGTAAGTTGCCCGTCAGTAATAAATAGCAATACCTTGTTGTTTTTGGTTCAGTTGTAGGTTATATTAACGTAGTGCCGAGTTTATTATATATTAATGATACCTTAATGAGAGCAGTTGTGCTGTTACTTATAATAAGTATTTTGGAATGTCACTTTGATTTAGTCAATTGTTTTACATAGTGCCTAGTTAATACATTGCATGTATTGAGTCTTCATGTTTGCTTTTCTTTGCATGCTTTACAAGTGCTTGTCTGGCTTTTAATACTTATATTAGGAGTTAAAACCAGAGTTTTAATTTTTTGAAATGTTAATAATTTCAGTCTTCATAGATTACCATAACTAAGGATTTTATATTAAAAATCTTGAATATTCTGTTAAGTCTACAATAAATGAATTATTATATGCTTCTACTGATAAATAGTTTAAAATGTTTTAATTACTCACAGTTTTAAGATTTTTTGTGTTTGGAATGTTTTGCTCTTCCTCATCCATGTGGCTTCTTGTACTGACCCTCCTGTAGGCACACCCACTCTGCGTCCAGCCTACTGCGGAAACCTGGCCTTCCCATGAGGCATGACCTCCCGCACTGATGCCTCTATCCTTCGGCCCTCCCCCCCTCCTAGGATTGAGGAGCTTTTAGGGGAAGAAGGGAAGGGGGGAAAGAGGTCGAGACGACCATCATACATTTTACATCTGTGTGAGTGAGATTATAGCTGTGCAAAGTTGCCATCGTGCTCTTGTGTATATATAAGCTAGATGATAAAAATTTACGAGTTTCACTGAAAATTGGATATCACAACACCATTCCAAAAACCAGGAAAATATTGGCAAAATTTGTTTGAGGTCATTAGAATAACACAGCTCATGCATGAGCTTGGAGCATTATGGGAAATATGAAAGTGGAGATGGCAGGGAGGTTTAGGACACTCATCCCACCAGAACAGAAGCTCATCATCCAATAATCATATATCTGCACTACAAAAAGTAATAATAATGGAAAGTAATAATAAAAGCAGGTATTAGCATGAGAATTCTGCCATAATTAAAATTTAGACAAACAAGGGGAAACACTTCTTAGTGTCCCTTCAGGCAATACAAGGGTATGTCACTATTCTTATACCAACACTAACTGTTAATTAATGTATTATAGCAAGTTTAAAATGAATTTAAACTTGTAGTAAGGTAGAGACCAGCCAGACATAAGGAGCTACAAACCATAAGTCATCGACTTACTGTGTATCACAATACAAACACAAATTTCCGTCTTTATCCTGCTTATTGCCCTGCTTATATAAGATCTCTGAACCTAACTAACAGATGTCATTATGGAATCATTAATAATGAATAAAGTATCAAGAGGTAGTTTCCTTTATTACTCCTAATATCACTTCACACTTCGTCCCGTTTACTATTGCTCAACATATTATTTTGCTATTTTTTTGCACTTTGTACTATTATTGTTGATACTTATTGTTCACTGCTTATCATACCATAAAGACATCTCTAATGTTTCTGGGATGGTGTTTTGATAACATATTTTGATGTATATTATATGGAAATTATTCACAAAGCAAGTACACTAAATTTGAGATATCACTCCGAAGACCTGCATCCAGAGATTGTTTTGTCTGAGCTCTATTTCAGTAATTATAAGCACTTAAAATGTGATATAATGTACTATTATTATTATTATTTTTATTTTATTTTTATTTTTTAAAATAACACAGCCATTTCCCGCCAAGGTAGGGTGACCCAAAAAAAAAGAAAAACTTTCACCATCATTCACTCCATTACTGTCTTGCCAGAGGCATGCTTACACTACAGTTATAAAACTGCAACATTAACACCCCTCCCATCTCCACAACTCAAGTTTGGCCTACTGGTTTCCCCGAATCCCTTCATAAATATTACCCTGCTCACAGTCCATCAGCACATCAAGCCCTAAAAACCACTTAACTCCGTTCACTCCTATCTAACACGCTCATGCCTGCCTGCTGGAAGTCCAAGGCCTTGGCATACAAAACCTTCTTTAACCCCCTCCCTCCAACCTTTCCTAGGCCAACCTCTACCTCACCTTCCTTCCACTACAGATTTATACTGTACACTCAAAATCATTCTATTTAGTTCCATCCTCTCTGCATCCGAACCACCTCAACAACCCCTCCTAAGCCCACTGGGTCATAGTTTTGGTAATCTCACACCTCCTAATTTCCAAATTACGAATTCTCTGCATTATATTCACACCACACGTTACCCTCAAACACGACATCTCCACTGCCTCCAGCCTTCTCCTTGTTGCAGCATTCACTACCCATGCTTCGCACCCATATAAGAGCGTTGGTATAACTATACTCACATACATTTCCCTCTTTGCTTCCATGGACAAAGTTCTTTGTCTCCACAGACTCCTTTTGTGCCACTCACCTTTTTCCCCTTGTCAGTTTTATGATTCACCTCATCTTTCACAGGCCCATCTGCTGACACATCCACTCCTAAATATCTGAATATACTTACCTCCTCCATGCTATCTCCCTTCAATCTGATATCCAGTCTTTCGTTACTTAATTTTTTTGTTATCCTCATCACCTTACTCTTTCCTATATTCACTTTCAGTATTCTTCTTTTACATACTCTACCAAACTCATCCACCAACCTCTGCAACTTCTCTTCAGAATCTCCCAAAAGCTCAGTGTCATGACCAAAGAGCAACTGTGACAACTCTCACTTTGTGTTAGATTCTTTATCTTTAATCCCACATATCTTGCCGACACCCAAGCAGTCACTTCTCTTACAACCCCATCTATAAATATATTGAACAACTATGGTGACATCACACATCCTTGTCTAAGGCCTACTTTTACTGGAAAATAATCTCCCTCTCTCCTACATACTCTAACCTGAGCCTCACTATCCTCATAAAAACTTTTCATTACGTACTTTCAGTAACCTACCTCCTATTCCATGCATTTGCAGCATCTGCCACATATGCCTTTTTCTAATCATAAATGCCACAAAAACCTGTGTACCCTTATCTAAATACTCTTCTACCCTTCCTAAAGCCTCCTTGTTCATCTGCTATCCTACTCTCCACCTTACTCTTAATTCTTTCAATAATAACTCTACCACACACTTTACCAGGTATGCTCAACAGACTTCTTTCTTTCAACGCACTGGTCGTATCCCACCGAGGTGGGGTGTCCCAAAAGAAAAAGCGAAAGTTTCTCCTTTTACATATACAGTGGACCCTTGGCTAACGCCTTTAATCCGTTCCAGTGAGCTAGCCTTTAACTGATTTAGCCTTTAGCTGAATTAATTTTCCCTGTAAGAAATAATGGAAATCCAGTTAATCCGTTCCAGACACCCAAAAGTATTAAAAAAAATAATTTTTTTTTCATGAAATATACATTTCCCTACAAAGAAAACAATAATACATGCACAATCAACAATACTGAAATGACACTTACCTTTATTGTGGACTTGTTGATGAGTGATGAGACGGGAGGAGGGGAAAGGATGAAGGTGTTCTATTGTTTGGAAAGGGGAATCCCCTTCCATGAAGACTTAAGGTACCAAGTCCTTTTCTGGGGTTACCTCCCTTCTTTGTTTTTTAATGCCAGTATGACCAGCTTGAGAGTCACTGGACCACCCTCTACCACCATCACTACCACCCTCTACTGCCATCACAACCACTACCACCCTCTACCACCATCACAACCACTACCACCCTCTACCACCATCACAACTAGTACCACCTACCACCATCACTATCACCCTCTACCACCATCACAACCACTACCACCCTGTACTGCCATCACTACCACCCTCTTCCACCATCACAACTACTACCCACCTTCTACCACCATCACTACCACCCTCTACCACCATCACTACCACCTCTTACCACCATCACTACCACCCTCTACCACCATCACAACTACCACCACCACTACCACCCCCTACCACCATCACAACCACTACCACCTCACTACACCATCACTACCACCATCACCACCCCATCACCATCACTACCCCCTCACTACCCCCATCACTACCACCATCGCAACCACTACCACCCTCTCCACCATCACAACTAGTACCACCTACCACCATCACAACTAGTACCACCTACCACCATCACTATCACCCTCTACCACCATCACAACCACTCCATCCTGTACTGCCCCTCACTACCACCCTCTTCCACCATCACAGCTACTACCCCCTTCTAAACCCCCATCACTACCACCCTCTACCACCATCACAACTACCACCACCTTCTACCACCATCACTACCCCCCTCTTCCACCATCACAACCACCCTCTTTTCCCCCATTACAACTACTACCACCATCACTACCACCCTCTTCCACCATCACAGCCACCCTCTTCCACCATTACAACTACTACCACCTTCTACCACCATCACTACCACCCTCTGCCACCATCACTACCACCCTCTACCACCATCACAACCACTACCACCCTCTACCACCATCACTACCACCATCACTACCCCCCCTCTAAACCCCCATCACTACCACCCTCTACCCCCATCACTACCACCCTCTACCACCATCACTACCACCATCACTACCACTCTCTACCACCATCACTACCACCCTCTACCACCATCACTACCACCCTCTACCACCATCACTACCACCCTCTACCACCATCACTACCACCCTCTACCACCATCACTACCACCCTCTACAACCATCAATACCACCCTCTACCACCTTCACTACCACCCTCTACCACCATCACTACCACCCTCAAACCCCCATCACTACCACCCTCTACCACCATCACTACCACCCTCTACCACCATCACTACCACCCTCTACCACCATCACTACCACTCTCTAGCACCATCACTACCACCCTCTACCACCATCACTACCACCCTCTACCACCATCACTACCACCCTCTACCACCATCACTACCACCCTCTACCACCATCACTACCACCCTCTACCACCATCACACCACCCTCTACCACCATCACTACCACCCTCTACACCATCACTACCACCCCCTACCACCATCACTACACCCCTACCACCATCACTACCCCCTCTACCACCATCACTACCACCCCTACCCCCATCACTACCACCCTCTACACCATCCTACCACCCTCTACCACCATCACTACCACCCTCTACCCCCCATCACTACCACCCTCTACCACCATCACTACCACCCTCTACCACCATCACTACCACCCTCTACCACCATCACTACCACTCTCTAGCACCATCACTACCACCCTCTACCACCATCACTACCACCCTCTACCACCATCACTACCACCCTCTACCACCATCACTACCACCCTCTACCACCATCACAACTACTACCACCTTTTTTTTTTTTTTTACACAGGGTTTGACAAGGTTAAGGATCCCTAGCTTTATTGACAAGCTATTTACAGGTTAAGGATTCCTAACTTTATTGACAAGCTATTTACAGGTTAAGGATTCCTAACTTTATTGACAAGCTAAGAGCTGTTACCTACATCAGCTCATTTGAAAGCATTTTTATATTTATGAGACATACAAGTAGGGAACAGGATGAAGTTGGAGCCATCTGTGGGCCAGCATTTTCATTTGATCAACTGACTTTATCTCGTTGACATCATTATGCTGTACGAATGTGTTCCATACTCGAGTCATCCTGGGTATATATGATCT